GCTAACGTAACCCATAATCAGTCACGTAGGGATGTAACGAAAGGGTTCAAAAGGTTGTTAAAATTTGGACGGAAAAGCCGTGGGACAGACAATTTCGTGGACTGGATCTCAGCTACAACTTCTGAAGGAGATGATGACACAGAGGATGGAAGAGATCCTGCCAATCGATCATCAGAAGATTTGAGGAAGTCAAGAATGAGATTTTCGCTAGGCCACCCTTCTGATGATGGCTTAAATGAAAGCGAGTTTTTCAATGATCAGGGTAATTAATTTGATTGTTTCCGTTGCATGTTAATTACCTTATTCTTAGCATATTCATTGATTGTTTTATTTTTCCATCTGTTAATTAATTTGAACTTTCATTGATTGCATGCATGGTTTAATATTATTCCATGTCGGTTTCCAAAATTTATGATACATGCATGCAAACATTTTAAATTTATTTTTGGCTTGCTCATTGAATTTGATGATGCATGCTTCTTTTCTTTGTTACAACTTCTCCGTTTCCTTTTTTGTATATATGAACCTGATTTGAAAGTTGAGTCATTGATGGTCCCTTGCAGTTCAATCGCTAAGTACTTCTATTCCATCACCACCCGCCAACTTCAAATTGAGGGAAGATCATATGTCAGGAAGCTCCATAAAAGGTGAATCATTGTTCATGTTAATATACTTATCTGATGCTTCTTTTTTCTTGATAGTAATTCATGAAGGCATCCTATTGAACAAATGTTGCCTTCTCATAGATTGTCGGGTGTCGGCTTGACCAATCCCTTTCATTTCCAAGGCTGGCTCTATGTGATGCCAGACAATGTCCTGTCAAAAGCAAATACTTCATCTTGAATCATGTACTACATGAAGCAATAATGGATAGATAGATAAGTTTGTATGAAATGAAGTCAATGCTGTTGATGATTATCTTGAAACTTCTCTTCTTGAGCAATATTTTAGAACTTAAGTACCATTGGACTAATCCTTGATTTACGTATTGGAGAAACTGTCATGAATATTCAGAAGAAACTTAATTTGTTCTTGTGTTGTATTCGAGGTTTTTATTTGTAATGGTAATTTTGCAGCACCTCGTTCATTCTTTTCGCTCTCAGCATTTCGAAGTAAAGGTAGCGATTCGAAGCCTACATGAAGTTTGTCTGGGGAAAGTCCAGGACTGCTCGAAATCATCTTAAAACAATAGGGTCAAAAGGATCACATATAAGGTACAAATGCTTGGGGTAGGCATGACAAAATGAACAGTATCACACCGAAAAATGGGATATGTAAATCTTCAATTCGTAGAGCCTTGTGGCCTTCCTGCTGATCTCTTAAGTAGTTTCCTATAGTTGTGATCGAACAAGAAATCACCTATAGTGGTAATCCAGAGCCATTCTTTTTTCCATTTCATTTGCTCTTGCCTTGTGATGGAGTATATGTATATCAAAAGTTGAACTATGTATTGAAACCAGAGTTATTGACAATACAATGTAACAGAAAAAAGAAAACTACCTTTTTTTTTAATCTTAGTAGCAATTGATACCATACTCCCTTTTGGTTTTGTTTTCCAGGATAAAAGTAAATTGTTATTGATTTATTTTTGTAGATAGAAATATGTTGGTGGCGTGCAAAGCTATATATGGTTGTACTTGTATGCATCAGGTTCTCATATTCTACCATGGGATAAAGTAATTTTCAGACCCTGGACTTGATAACTTTCTTAACTTGGTTCCTGTATTTTTGTTGTCCACATTGGTCCATGAACAATATATTCTGAGAGAGTCGCTTCATCAAATTAGGGGATTAATGTGAAAATTTATGGATCAACTTGTGAAAAGTTATCGAGTTTAGAGACTAAATTTATCCATTCAACCATTTTCACTCCGGTTGCAGCTTGTGTTGCTGCCAATGCCCATGATTTCATATATGATCTTCCACTAGGATACGATACTCAGGTTGACAACCGAAACCATACTTCGAACATCCGTATTAATGAACTTGTTCAATGTACGTGGTTTTCCACACTTGTTCTGATTTTTCGGCCTCAAAAAATAGATTCGCAGGTGGGAGCCAAAGGAACTCAGTTATCAGGTGGTCAAAAGCAGAAAATCGCTATAGCTCGTGTGTTGATTAAAGATCCTAGAATCCATCTCTTTAATGAGCCTATCAGTGCCCTGGAGGCCGAAGGCAAGGCAGTTGTCCAACAAGCAATTGACAAGATTTCGAAGGGGAGAACAACAATGGTCATTGCTCACATGCTAGCAACGGTAAGAAATGCTGATACCATTGCTGTTATCGCTAATGGATCGGTTTCTGAGGCTGGTAGCCATCAGCATCTAATGAAAAGAGAAGGGGAGTATTATAAACTTATCAAGCATGCTTCTGAAGCAGTTTCAAACCCTGAACTGAGACCGCCATATGAGAACTCAGCCTATGAAGCACCAAGATCGCCGTATGAGTACGATATTTCACGGTCAAAGTACTTAAAGTCTATCCATGTGGTTAATCAAGTTGATGAGGAACTACAAAAGAAAAAGCCTAGAGAATATCGAATTTCGAAGATATGGTCTCTACAACGACAGTTACTCATCACACTTTTACTCGGGTTTTTTCCGGGTATCAATGCAAGTGCTATTCTCTTCATTTTCCCGCTGTTTTTAGGCACAGCTCTTCAAGCTTACTTTGGTGACACTCCACAAGAGTTGAAGAAAGAAGTTAACAAGCTCGCCTTAGCACTTGTTGGCCTAGGCTTTGCTTCTATAATTACCTTGATTGGACAACAAGGTTTCTGTGGTTGGGCTGGAACAAAGCTGACACTAAGGGTGAGAGACCTCTTATTTCGTTCGACACTAAAACAAGAACTGGGCTGGAACAAAGCTTCCGGTGCAATTTCAAATATAAAGACGGTGGCAACATTTTCTTCACAAGAAGAGAGAGTTAAATCCTTTGATAGAGCTTTATCCGATCCTAGGAAACAATCAGAGAAAAGGTCACAACTTCTAGGCCTCACACTTGATTTCTCTCAAGGTGCCATGTATTGTGCATACACTTTTACACTTTGGTATGGTGCCTACCTTATGAAACATGGCCATACCGGTTTTGGTGATGTATATATAATCTTTCTCATTCTCGTGTTAAGCTCGTTTTCAGTTGGAAAACTATCAGGTCTTGCACCAGACACCATCAGGGCAGCGACAGTGATACCTTCCATGATCGATATCATCGACCGGAAGCCACTGATCAGTATCTTCCGAGATGAAGGTAGAATAATCGAACGGCTGAAGTCATTGGATATCAAATTGAAAATGGTGACATCTGCTTATCCATCTAGGCCTCAAGTGATCGTGTTGAGGGACTTTTGTTTAAATGTCAAGGGTAGTAGCACGGTGGCATTGGTAGGAGGAAGAGGGTTGGGGAAATCGACAATGATATGGTTGGTACAAAGGTTTTATGATCCAAATGAAGGGAAAGTAATGATGGGAGGCATAGATTTGAAAGAGCTCAACTTGAAATGGTTGAGAAAACAAATAGCCATGGTGGGTCAAGAGCCAGCTTTGTTTGCAGGGAGTATAAGGGAAAACATCATATTCGGGAACTCGAATGCCTCATGGGATGAGACCGAAGAGGCTGCAAAGGAAGCTTACATTCACAAATTCGTTAGTAGTCTCCCCAAAGGCTATGAAACTCAGGTACTGTCTAACTTGGAATGCAAGTTAACCACTTCTAGACACGTAATCGGCATTAAGTTCGAGTCACACCATACGCTCGATTAACCGATAAATAATTTCCCTTTTTCTTGCTAAACAGGTTGGGGAGAGCGGGGTCCAGCTGTCAGGCGGTTAGAAACAAAGGATAGCAATACCAAGGGCCATACTGAAGAAACCGAGGGTGTTGCTTCTAGACGAAGCAACCAGTGCCCTGGACTTGGAATCTGAGAAACATATCCAGGATGCACTAAGAAGGGTTTCGCAGAGTGCCACCACAATCATAGTAGCATACAGGCTTTCCACGATCCGGGAAGCCAATACCATAGCCATCGTCGAATACGGCAGCCATGAAAAACTTTTAGCCCACCATGCTGACGGTGTCTATGCTAGCTTGGTCCGAGCCGAAAGAGAAGCCAATGCCTTTGCTTGAGATAGAGCCTATTTCAGTAACTTAATCTGAAAGAATCTGTCATTCATACACTTCTCATTAACCTTAAATGGCATTAAAGGTTAACACATCATAGACTTCACAAAAATGTCTTGGAATATATTTAGAATTTGGTTAGATGGTCTTGTCTAAGTTCCACCTACCTAGAGATAACTTGAAACTAATATGAAACTAATCCCTCTTAACTTATGTAAAGACTAAGTTATCTGGATTTATGGGATGGAAAAAATGAATTTCATACATTTCATGACAAAATTAGAAAGAAAAAAAAAAAGAAATAACGAATGTTTTTATTGACACATAATTACAATTAAAAATTCGGGTTTAATCTAATTAATTCATACAACGAACATAAATTTCGAATTCTAATATTTACTATCCATTTATGAAAAAATTCTTTGAAATCAGTCAAATATTCTATATTTATATGTATTTTCTTTCAATAAGGATGAAAATGGTGGAGTGTTTTCCAAGACAAATATGTTAAAATAATGTAAAGGAGAGATGGGTCTATGATTACAAGTAGTGACGTGAAAACTTTTGCATTCAAAAGCATGAGTGGTCTTAATCAAAGCAATAAAAAGTCATAATTTGCACCGAACTTTAATAAAGTTTTTCTGTCCACTAAAATATGATTTAAAACCATGGGATGGAAATTAAGAGGAAGAAGATGACACTTGGAATACCCTTACCTTCCATTAAAAACTCCATTCTTTCTACTTGTAAAAGGAAATGCGAGCATGGAAACTGACCCACCACAAATGTCACCTTTTGGAAATAACAGCATAATTGTCTTCAAAATGTTTTGAAAAGTCTTACATGTAAACATGTCTCTTGGCTTTTAAGCCAAGGGATATTGATGGTAACGTGCCTGCCATGCAAAGCTATAGATGGTTCTTTCGAGTCTGCAACAATGGCAACTTTCTGTCATTTGGTTGAAAGCCTGAAACTGTAGTGTCTTACGTGACGAAAAAATTTGCTGCAGCTTTCGGTTTCAAAGCATGGCATCGCTGACACCAGGGGTGTTGTTGAAGCTTCTTCAGAGTATGAATTCGAATGTGAAAGTTCGAGGTGAATATCGATCGATTCTCCTGCAAGTGATCAGCATTGTGCCTGCTTTAACAGGATCTGAATTGTGGCCTAACCAAGGTTTCTTCATCAAAGTATCCGATTCCTCGCATTCGACGTATGTTTCCCTGTCGCAGGAAGACAACGAGTTAATCTTGAACAACAAGTTACAGCTCGGTCAGTTCTTCTACGTCGAGAGAGTCGAATCCGGGACCCCGGTTCCTATCCTTGTTGGTGTCAGGCCAGTTCCCGGAAGGAACCCTTTCATTGGCAATCCCAAGGATCTGATGCAGATGCTGGTTCCATCAGAGAGTCCGGTGTCGATAGATAACGAAGGAAATAGTATCGCTTCGAAGGCGAAGGAGCCAGTGGATGCGAGAGAGGAGAGTCCCAGAAAGAAAATCGTTATCAAAGAGGAAAAAGCAAGTGTTGCATCGAGATACATGCAGGGTGTTTCGCCATCGAATCCAAAAGCAAGTGCACCAGATTCGAATAGCAATGTCAAAAGCATTGAGAATGAGAATGGTGTTGCGGGTAAAAAGACAAAAAGCAAGCAACAGGAGCCTAAAGGTCAGGTAAGATTCTTGTTCGACATACGTTAGGACAGTAATGCATATACTATGTACCAAGTACCAAGTTATGACAATCTCGAGTTTTAGCATTACAGACACGACCGACAAGTCCTCGTGGTAGGCTGGAGGTGCCGGTTTCCAAGCCTGAGGTTGTTGCATCCAACACAAAGGAAACTATGGTGCCTCAGAAGAGCGCATCTTTAAAACGTTCTTCGAGTAAACACGAACAAACGGACTCGAATTGTTTGGGGAACAACAAAGAAAAGAGTACTTCAGCTGAAACAGGTTCATGGAACTCTCTGCCAACAAGTCTCTTGAAGCCAGGAAAGGTCTATATACAAACAAAACTGAAAGATTTTTACGTTTTAACTCTTCAAGGAAGTATTCAGTTCTCACATTTTAACAATCCTTTTTTCACAAGGGAATGCTCAGAAGAAGAAATCTAGCTTCTCTGGTTGCAGCAGAGGCTCAAAGGGAAGCATCTATGGCAGCAAATCTTGTCAAATGTCTTAGGTAAGCACATTTTTTCGGACTTGAAATTCTCTTAAAAGAATGGAGATTTGAATGCTTAGATGTATGTAACAATGATTTATGTCTTGTTCCAGCATGTTTTCCGATCTATGCTCTGCCGCCTCACCGGAGAACCCTCATCTGTCACTCTCCAAGTTCTTCGCCCTCCAACAGCTAATCGACCAACCGAGTGTGGCAACACATAAAGATAAACACCCTCAATTATCTAATCTTCCATCTATGATAGACACAGAAAAGTCAAACAAAAAGAAAGGTATAATCCAGGAAAAAAGATCATCAAAGTCCACCAAGTCTTTAGTACAGTTGAGTGGAGCCGAGAAGCTCGAATGGGCCAAAGGAGATGGTGCGAAAGACATAAAAGAACTGAGAGAAACCTTGGTGCATGAAACCAGAACTTGGTTTTTGAAATTCCTAGAGGTGGCATTGGATGTCGGATTTCGGGTCGATTCCCAGGAGAAGAAAGGGAAAACCGGTACGGGGCGGTTGACGGAACAGGACAACCACATTGCTGTCACACTGTCACAACTCAAATATGCGAATGAATGGTTGGGAAAAGTAAGAAACAGTTTGAGCTCAGACAACAATGGAATGATGGAAACTGTTGAAAGGTTGAATCAAAAGGTCTATACTTGTTTGCTTAGCCATGTCGGCTCGGCAGCCTCGGCTCTCGAGAATCGACCTTGATCGCAGTCGATTCACAGTGAAAAGGGTACGACTTTACAACGTTTAAGTCACCTGGGGTTTGTAATAACTTAACAGTTTGGGACATATATTTAAGATCTGGTTTGATTTATAGTCAGCCATTGTGTATAAAACAATAAACTCATTGAAGCTTTCCTTCAATCCAGATTGTTATTTTTAACTTTCAAGTGGCTGCAATCAAATATTAAACGGAATAGTTACTTGATCTGATATAATAACATTTTAGTCCTCAAAATTTATATATTCTATCAATTTAATCCTAATTAAAAAATTTAATAAGTTTCTTTCTTCTATTGCATTATATTTTTTATTTCTTCATATATAGTAAAGAACGACCAATGAAGATTGCACCAAGGCACAAATTTCATACTAATGCAAGAGACCTCTCATGCAAAGATTGTAAATTGAAAACAGCAACCCAAATATGAAGAAATAAAACATCATGCATAGTCTATTTCATTTCCAACATGCATGCATGAAGCAATGGCATATCTTGGAATTGAAAAGGCACGATCTAATTGTCAAGCCATGCATTTTTATATTGTGTTTTAAATAATACCACCAATTCACCAAGTTTCTTCAGAACGGAAACATAAATGGTAAAAAACACAGCATGTTTACGAGTCCTTGGTAAGAGATTACCAATATGTCCATGGTTTTGAAACAGTCTATGCTGACAGGAGAAAGTAAACTAGAACAGCAAAGTAAATAGAGCCAAGGATGACTTCCCATGGGAACAAAGCAGACGCTTCTTATACGCGAGACTGCTCGGATGAGTATTTGTTAACTCGTCTATCTTAGAGATGATGATGGATGTTTCCACCACCTTGCATATCAGCAGCATGACCGGGCATGGGTCCACCAACGTGAGAAGGATAGGCGGAGAACCTGAAATCCAGATGCTGGAACATTTCATCATTGGAGGCAGTTGTGACATTGGAGCGAGAGGTAGTTGAAGCAGCATCTTTGTAGTTTTCCAACTGATGAACTTTGGATTGGGAGATATACATGTCTACACTGTTGCTTGTAGGAATACTGTTTGATTCCTGGAGTTTCTTTGTGTTGAGAAATCGCCCACCGCTTCCTCTAGCTCGTTTTAAAGCATGAAGATGTCGAGATTCATGCAGGTACGGCTGCAAACATTAAAAAGAACTTCTCAGGTAATATCTTTGTTAGCCAAATAACCAGACTATCATCGTAGGAGAAGTTGCTATTCCCATGCAGCAAGAAGGAAAAACTTGAAGCAACATACCTTTCGAGCTTTGATGAGTTTGTTTTGAGCCTCAAGTTTTGCACGATTCTGTCTTCGCCTCAGAATAGCCTGATATTGCTTTGCATTAACATAGATAGGTCCATCTTGTGTAAGCTCCAGAGGCAGTGGAACACGAGCAGGGAGTACAGCCATCGTACGAGGTTGAATCTGCTGGCAATACAATGACAAATATCTCACAAATGGATAACAAATAAGACATGTTTGTCTGGTCATACATAACAAAGGTATAATTGACTCCCGAATAAATCATTTATGGTGTTAAACAAGATTTCAAAAGCAACTAGCCCCTTCTCCATGAACCGGTGTCATGCTAGAGTGAAGTGCTCACCATCAAATAGACATAAATGCAACATCGGGACATAACAAAATCAAAATGATTCTTACCATAGCTTGCGGAGCATAAGGAGAAGCCACACCGCTGAATATGGATCAGCATAAGGGAGCGGAATGTGAGCCTGCAGCACAGAAGATCGACATCCAAGACTATCATGCAATCTACAATACATAGCAAACAAACCACAAGAGTAGCTAACTAATAACTTACAATTGATTTGTTATAGTCAACTTGTGAAGGAGCGAGCCCATATTCCTGAGTTCCCATTGAGAAGGCTAATTTAGCATGACCTCCAACAAGCTTCCTGTGCGCTTCACTTCCTCCTGAGCAGATGTAAAAAACAGCTAATCAGATTTACCCAGTGACAAGAAAAAGAAAAAGAAATCCCATTAATTTAACATATGAAATACTAAGATTTTGTTAATGGAAGGCTCTGACACTGTTGTAAGAAATTTACAAGTTGGAGATGACTTTAAAAGAATCCAAAATATATATTGAGAGAAAATAAATCACAAAGATCAATCATTATCCCACACTAATATTTAGGGGTATTGGGGAAATATAGAGACCTGATGATGCTGAAATTAAACTTTGCTCATTAAGAGTGCTATCACCAGCACTAGCCACTTCAGCATAAGATTGACAAGTCGATTGAGTTGATGATGTGTCCTGGTCCTGGAACTGAAAACTTAGCTGCTTGGTGTTGTTTAAGTATCGAGGCAGAACTCCCATCTTCAGGCTTAAACTTTCGGACATATTTGATTGCTGGACGTGAGATCCAGTTGAGTTTTCCCACAATGGGCAGCCAACAACATATGTGCACGTCGAGTGAGAACTGACAGCGGAATCCTTTTTGTTTTGCATTGTTGTAAAACTACTGTTCCGAAATATCTCGACTTAAGAGTAAGCTCAAAAGGATCTTTGAAAGCGTTGAGAGGAAATCTTCGCTGTATTTGTTAGTCAGCTCATATACATCAGTGACTTAGCATAAAACCATATCGCTTCTTTCACAAGGTATTCCTTAATTTCAGACTTCAACAGATAAGGAAGAACTGGAACAAGTATGGAAAGCAGTTTAACCTTTAAATCAACCATGCTGTACTGCCAAATTTAGATATAAAATATTTATTGGTGGAATAGAAGGCTCACTAGGACAACCGTGCACATTCATTGACAGTTAGAGCCATAATTATTATATACATAAAGAAAACTGCATAAGTTACTCACGCCCCATTGTAATTCATCATCTGATAATTGATTAGACAAGAAGTTTAGAACAAATCTTGTTTTGAGGTGATAATGCCTCACCAAGCATGGAAACTATTATGTAAAAATTAAGATAAAAAATGATTTTTCGTTTTCCCTTGATTTCAGATTTTTATAAAGAAAAAGAATTCCGATATTGAATTATTATCTAGTATGTATTAGAATTTTAGAAAATTATCGGGGAGGGGGGGGGAACCCTTCAACTTTCTATTTACATTTTGGACTTGAATCAACATACTGTAACAAACAAGGGGGCTTTAGATTCGAGTCTTCCTGTTGTGACAAACAAAGGGCTTTTAGATTCGAATCTTCGTGTTTCGACAAACAAAGGAGCGTGTGATAAATCAATATCCGGACATGTATGCACTTTAGCGAGAGTTATGTGGATTACTACTAACTAGTAATCCTTTTCGTTATTGCCAACTAAATCGGACAATAATCAACTTTAAAATGAAAAGAAAGAGATGAAGGAAACCATTACATTTTCAAACATCACAAAGCAGCAACTTTAAATCACAAGCATATCTTCTCAGTTATGCTAAAGAAACAGCAAGTGAAATGTATGATCCAAAAATACCAAAATTACCTATAACTTACCCCCAAGATCATAATGGCAGATGAAGTTAAATGGATTCTTGTTCAAATAAGCTCTACAAAATCTCAAACACAAAAGTTTTCCATGCATGCAAATCTAATCAAGTGAATTCTGACCTACCATCCCAGGATCAAAATACAACCAAATCCAGAGCCTTATAAGCTTATAGACACAACAATGAAATTTCTAAACATATATAGAAAGATACATACATATATAAGTACTAGATAAACTAACAAAAACAAAGTGCAATAATCCCAGAAGAACTAAAAACAAGTGAAAAAACACAAAGAAAGGAAAAGGAAGAAACATGATATACCTTTGGAATTTTGATGAAATGGAAGACAAACAACACTAGTGAGCATTGTTCTATTCCATCTACTAAGCTTGAATTCTGTGCATGTCGCCCTTTTCCTCTCTTCCAAACAAAATAAATAGAAAACCGCGTCCTTCTGTTTCATAAAAAACGTTCTCTTGTCAGTCTTGGATCCTTTCGTTTTCATATAAACCCAAAAAAAAATCCGCTTGGATAGTACTGTTTACATATCTTATGGAAACCCCATTTTAAAAGAATGGAATGAAAAGGAATGATCTTTTCAAGTTCCGGAACTCACCAGTCACCACCGTTAGCTCTCCTCCACCACCACAAACCGTCAGCACCACCCCCACCAGCGTCGCTTCAGCCACTTAAAAATAGCAGTTTCATTGTTGCTTTTCAAGGTTTGGTTTTAAATATTTTTTTGGCGTGTTCTGCCAAGGTGTAATAAATTGACGGATAAACCACAAAATAGTCACCAAAACTTTTGGTCTCTTATATTTTAGTTACTGAATTTATAAAACTTGAATTCGAAGAGACTTTCAAAGCTCTTTAATATGGGAACTTGTAAAAGAGAGCATAAACATGAAGTATTTTAAAATTCAGAACTCATTCCATCTTAGTTGGCTCAATTAATGACTATTTGTGTAGGTTACCCTAAATTGCTTTCTGCAATGTAATCTTCTCTCAGCAAGGCAGGAACTGTTGCATACATCATTTTCACCAGCAATTTTTTCACGCTCAATCAGATCGCGTGCAGCTCTACTCCCTCTCTTTTTCGTTGAGAATAATTTGTTTTAGCAAATTGCACTTAAGACTATAAGTTCATTCATCGAAAGTAAGTTTTAGCATGAATAAAGTTAAATGATGGCTTGGTGCAGTTAAAATCAATAACCAAAACCCCAACAACAAACCCATAAAAGATGTTGGAGCAACATCAGAAGAGAAAGAGACAAAAGAGTTGAGCTTGAAATCCAAAGTCATGGGAATTAAGTGCACAGAGTTATATATTATCCGACACAACCAATAATCAATAATTATATAGATAGATAGATAGATAGATAGGATAAATGAACTGCTAGGCCTTGTTTCGAAAGAGTTGATCCATCCAAGCAGGCGCAAGTTTTATTCTTTGCAAGCAGAGCAGAGGTCTCTCATCAGCAAACTTACTGGTTAATAATCTCGTCCTTTCTATCCTGCATAAACCAGTTTCAGTTTCTATTAGAATTCCAACGTGTGGAATCTTCTACATTACAAATGAAACACCTAATACAGTCTTCCACTTAAAAAAGAAATTAATTCACAGTTTGGTCCTCCTAGTCTACCCATTTCCCCGCTTTGCACCATAAAGTATGGCTCCGTTATATATTTCGACCCCTGGACGTCAAAAAATAAATAAAAATTGGACCAATGTAAACACACACCATGTGGCATCCTCCTTCCCTCATTCTTTTTCCATGGTGGCCGGGCCTTGTTGAAAAGTTCCATGGTATTGAAGGGTTTCAAGTAGGACCGTAACAAGTCTGAACAGCTGAAAGGCATTTAAGGATGTGGATGGACCACAGTCAAGGCTTTGATCTGATCCGATGACTAGATTTGGAGATAGCAGTGTGAGTATCCCAAACTTAAATCTTGATTTCATAATTTGTGGGAAGTTTTTTCAGAAATATAATGACAAATTGGGCTGAAGAAGTGACGACGAAAATTCTGGTGTAAAAATTGGGTCAAGGAAAAGCTGGAACACGGGGACAGGAATCTGGATTTTGTAATTGCTCTGTTCACCTGCCACGTGGCATATTTTCATTGGTCCGATCTTTTTAACATCCAGGGGCCAAAATATATAATGGGGTAGTACTTTAGGGTGCAAAGTGGGGAGACAGATATAATTAGAGGGCTAATTTGAGAACTAAGCCTCTAAAAGAAGAAGAAGAAAACCTGATTTGCTAATCTATAATCATGGTATACTGCCCTTCTCAAGAATGAGACTAGAGTCTTGCACCGAGTTTGAAGAAAGTTCCACACAACTACTCATAAATAGAATTCTCCAGGAAGCATCATTTGCAACCATACATATTTACGCAAACATAGATATATAAAATGCTAGTAAATAGGAGTGCATTCTAAGTATGCTATATAGCAACCAAATTTATACAAGCTCGGAGAATTCTCAAAAGAACTTACAGGTTGGTAGTATACCACTTGGCGTTTCCCAGGAAGCATCTGCTGCCCATACTGCAATTTTGAAGAATGTCATAAATAATAAGCATATCAAGATGGGTTAATGAAGATAATTGTAAATATATGTTCTACCTGAGGTCCATTTGGATGATAATATGGTTGTGATAATTGTGTTGATGCCACCTGTGGGTTGTATATAACCGGCTGGTGACCAGGAAAGGAAGATCCTATCTGCGAAAATCATGTGATCATAAACAAACAAGAATAAATTTTGGATTGAATTGAGGAAAAAAAGGAATAAATTTGCAATGAATTTAAGAATCAGGTCTACATTGAAAAAGGAATTGTAATAGTTAAAGATAATTTACCAAAGTTTACCATCTCATTTATTAAAATATATGCGGCTGAATCAAGTTGCAAACTGTAAAAAAATACTGAATACAAGATTACTAATGTAAAAAAGGTTACAATTCCTGACTACATGGCTCCCTTGAACCAAAAAAGAGAGAGGTCCAACCTAGGTAGTACCTTTTATATATTATATCGAATCAAACTTAAACCCACTTAAACCATTCCAGACAAATCTTATTTAACTATGAACATGGAAAAAATGAATGCTATGTTTCTATAACAAAAACATAGGTTATAATGATGCTCAAACAAGTTATAAAAGAATCAATGCACCCTTTAGAGCTCAAAGGTCTAGTCATAAATCAAAGTTCAAGCATAAAGTGATACATAATATAACCAAAGGAAAACATTAGAGAACAAGCTTTATTAATTTCAGCACTCAGTTCATAACCTTTTCTCTTTTTTTTTTTCTTTTTTTGGTGCGGGGGAGGCCTATATTATGCAGTAGTTGCCGATTAATAGTATTTCTTGCTTGCAGAATTAGTGTTCATAAAAATTGAAATTACTTACCCCAAAACTAACAGGCAAGTGCATATGTGGTACAGGAGACATGTGATTGATAGTAAAAAGAACCACCAGACACTGGGGATGGAGGCGTTTGAGATGGTGTGAAACTCTTTGCATTAGATTGAGCTTGAACTCCTTACAGCATTAAGCACATTAAACACAGAAAATCAACAAATTAACAGAAAAGGGAAATAAGAACTCTTCACAGTTAATAACTCGGTATTTTTTGCAGTCAACTTATCACACACCTGAAAGGGAAAATATAGAAATATTACAAACCTTTGCATGGGGATTCAGTGTTGACTTCTCAGAGGAGAATAAACCAATCGATGAACTTGATGACAAACCAGGGCCACTAGATGCTGAGACAGCAACAGCACAATCTGAATTTGATGATGCAGAACTACCAGGTCGTCCACAGGAGTACGAGGAATGTGTTTCATCGATTACTATGCTAGAAAATGGATCCTCTGAGAGTTCACTAGAAGAACTTGGTTTTTCACATTGCCCAGCTTTATCAGACACATCAATTTTTTCATTCAATAATGAATAAGAATCTACATTACAGATTGCTCTATGGTCAGTATATGAAAACCAGAAGCAACATCAAGTGCAGTCTGATAGATGCAAAATAACCAAAAAAATGCAGTTTCAATTTCATAGGATATTAACCAGACACCTTGATAGTAAAGTATACTCACCAACAGGATTTTAATAGTAATAATATCAAAAACTGTTAAAAGCAACAAAAATCGAAGAAACCCTCTTTATAATCTGAATAGAAGTTGGATTATCGAACTGGGTTTTATTTGTTATATGAGTAGTACTGTGAAAGCTGTGAAAGTCTGTCTTTTTTGGGAGTATTCTGAAACAGAGAGATGGTAATTGGGCCAAGAACCGAAGGGATCTCGGCGTGAGTAAGCAAGACAATACAGTCAATCAAGGAAATAGTCACCTAGTCGGTAATCACTCTGATGATGACATCTACGTTGCATTGAAAGAGGCCAACATGGATCCTAATGAAACTGCCCAAAAGTTGCTTCATCACGGTTACCCTTTTATTTCGTTCTTTTTTTTTTTTTTTTTGCATTTTAGTGTTTTGAAAAATGGGTTTTGTTTGTTTTTTAGTTGGTGCATGGACTTCGAGGTCAAGATTGGTATAGCTCTTGTAGCGTTTACTTTGGGATTGTCTCAGGAAAGACGGGTTAATATACGGCTAATATACAGCATTACCGGATACATTAAAATGTATTTAATAAATTCGGTTTAGCGGTACCTATTATGTTGACAACTAATAATGTTTTAGGTAGAAAATATGAAAAACTATTAAAAAATTTGGTAACCGGTAAACTTTGGTTATCGGTAAGTATCTATCCTTTTTATAAAAGTGTCCATACGTTTAACATATCAAGTAAATTTTACCGGTTTGTCATAATGAATCTGGTTTTGTCATATTTTACCTGTTATATTGTAAATTATCTATCCTTTTATAAAAGTGTCCATACTTATTTCACTGTGAAAATATATTTATTATTATCTTTAGTTAATATTGTTAAATTTAAAATCTAAATAATATTTATAAAATATCAAAACAATCAAATAATTTTTTGTGTAAATGAAATTATTAAATTAATATTGTAGGTGGAAAACATGAAACACTATTAAAAAATTGAAATTCATAACATAAATTACTTAACTTTCAAAAATTTAAATTCTAAATAATATTTATAAAATATCAAAACATCAAATATAATTTTGTAAATTAAATTATTAAATTAATATTGTAGGTGGAAAACATGAAACACTATTAAATAAATTGAAACCTAAATTACATAACTTTAAAAGCAGTTTTAAATCCTAAAAAGTGTCGATACTTTTAAAAAATATATCGATCCAAAACGATATACCAGGTAAATATGATAAAACCGGTAACAAAATGATAAAACCGGTAAATTTAAAGTGTCGATACGTTATATAGGATCGACACTTTGTGAATTTAAAAGAGAGCAGTTATAGCGCCTATAATGTCGATACTTTAAAAATATCGATCCACACGATATAACAGGTAAAATATGATAAAACCGGTAACAAAATGATAAAACCGGTAAAATGATACCGGATATATTGAAAGTGTCGACACTTTCATAAGTACGTGTAATAAATTATCGACACTTTCAAAGAAATAGGTAATTTCCTTTCGAAAGTATCGACACCTGACATAAAAGTATCGACACTTTTGTATTTGTATCGATTAAATATAATAACATATCCGATGAAATATAAAGGCCATAGCTAAATATCCTCTGAAAAAAGATAGAACGG